TCTATTTTATTTCTTAAACTATGTTATTAATGTAAATATTTCTATTCTACAGAAACTGTCATTAAAGTAATGTTATAGGCTAAACCAATGTGAAATGTGTTTATAAAGATCACACTTGACTTAAGAGAGTTCTGGGTGGGCTGGACCAATGTCTTCACATGACGGGGTAGCTGGCCGCTGTGGCGATACCACACTGGTTCTTCTTGTTTCTGGACATCATGCCATAACCATGTAGCCCCCACGATTTGCCCCAACTGAAAACAGAACGGCACGTCACTGTTTAGTTGTGCAAAAAGTGTACAAGTGGGATTAGTTTATTATAAGTTTTCATATGACATCATCTGGTGATGTGAAATACATAATGGCTATTTTAAAAAGTTGGAAACTATCTACTCTAAATCAGTGGCGGAACTAAAAAAAAAAAAAGGGCCACCCCGCAAAACGATTTTTTAAAATTTATATTATTTATTTTAAATACTATCCTTTTTATACTATGTCATTTTTAGTGTGTATCTTAAAAAAATAATTAAGAGAAGTAATTGCTTTTTTACAAATCTATTAAAATGAGCTTATGAGCACCATGTTTAACTATTTAAAAAGGAAATATGCCATGGAAGTGTTATAAACGTTTGCCTATCTTTCACACTACAGCTCCTGCATATATTATTTTTACGCAACAGCATGTGTTAGCTTCTGTATAACATCACTACTGTAGTAGATCTGTTTGTTATTTACAAAGTAGGGGTTTTTTGTGACGATCTTTGACGGAGGAGAGGGGGAGGTAAAAATCGTCAAAAAAGCGTTACGTCATTTATGGATGAACCCCCAAAACAAGAATACGTAGACGACATACAACCGAAATTATTGTTATTTTATTTTTTCTGATTATTTATAGAATACAGGATAGTACAAAATTGTAATTCTACCAATACAAAAAAGTACATTTTTTGTTGCAAATTCACAATGGATTGTGGGTCCTAACCAACACTATAAAAAAGCAAAAGCCGTCTTAATATCTAGCGGCCTCAATTCAAAAACATTTTGCCGACAACAGCGTGTTTGATTGTAGAGGAAAGAGGACTCGGCTTTCACAGTGGTTTAAAACCAAAGGAAAAAAATAATATACAAGAGCGTGTGATGGTGTCTATAGAATAAAGATAATCCAACAGCAGTTAGAGTATTATTTTTACAAAACATCCATCAAGTCAAAAATGCAGGAAAATTATTTTTTTTAACTATAAAAAATTGATTATAGTCGGCTGTGGGTCGGCCTTCCCCCCCCCCCCCCCCCTCTCCCCGCATTTCGGTGTCTGGCGGCACTGTAGTTCCGCCTCTGCTCTAAATTCTCCCCCATACTGAGTTCCTTCAAACTAAATTAATTATGATTAACTCGATAAAAATTTAAATATTACAAAAATTAATATTGAATTATTATAATGAGGTTAAAATTTTTAATGTAGACACATTACTTTTCAACCAAGGTTCTTCATTTATAGCAAAATAAAAATTACAAGTATTTTCCTAAATTACAGTTTTATGTTTTAACATATAAAATGCATTTTCTTTTTTTTTTTTTTTTTAATTTATATAAAAACTACACAAAATTCAACTTTATATAGATAAATATTTCAACCCACATTCTATGTAAATTTAAAATTTCCAACTAAACAAAAACAAAACTGTGTCTGACCTGTTTTTGACGAGCCAGTAGTCCTTGCCATCCATGGTGCCATAGCCCACAACCAGCACAGCGTGATTCAACTTTGTGGTGCTGCAGTTGGGCTCGTCATACACACCACTACGGTAGCTCTGGAACTGTGGGACGCTGGCATCAATAGCCGCGCTGATTGGTCCCACCTGTCATACAAAATGGGGGGTTAGATTGGTCCAACACTAAGTACATAATAGATTGCCTTGTACTAAAGGTGTTTGCATTCATATTCAAATAGCAGGCACAAAGTGGTTAAAGCACGGGTTCCCAACCTGGGGGTCGCGACCCCAGAGGGGTCTTTCTGAAGGTCTTTTTGGGGGGTCGCCAACTAGTATACTAAACCTTAGTAATTTGAAACAAAACATAAATATTTAGAAGAATTTTTGAAATTCGGCTTCATTAACATCACTGGAAATGTAATAGAGAAGAAACAAAGCGCACTGTACAAAGTTGTTCTCAGCCACGAATCTATGAAATCTTCAAAACTAAAACGGCATTTGAGACGAGTCATTCGAAACACACCAAAAAATATATGGAGTTCTTTCGTCGGTAAGAAGCTAGTTGCAAACGCCATAGACTTGATCGAACAGGAAGTTTTCACCAGCATTAATGCAAGCATCAAATGAAGTCGCGATAGAAAATGCCAAGCAAAAAAAAAAAAAAACAATAGGAGAAAATCTTATCTCAACAGACGTGTGTTCGTGTTTGCAGTTGCTGGTCTGTGTTTATATTCATGCGGATGATAGCAAAGAATAGTTGCTCTTTTGTGAAGATAGCATGAAGAAAATAAATACATTTTTTGAAACTGGGTGATTAAAATGGGTTAGAACGGCTGTGTGGGTTTGTACCGATGCCGCGCCATCTATGTTTAGCTCAAAATCGGGCTTTCAGAAAACAGAAAAGATTTAGCTCCCTAACCACTGCCCTAACCAATCGACATCAAGAGTCCATTGCTAGTATAAGTCGTAAATCATATAAAATCTGGAGCCTTCAAAGAACTGAGCAAAAACATTAATATAGATCACGAGGTTCTGCTCTTCCACACTACAGTATGCTGGCTGTCAAACGAAATGTTGTAATTTGTGTTTTTGAATTGAAATCTGAAATCAAATTGTTCTTGGAAGTGCAAAGGAAACAAGACTTTTTGGTATACTTAAAACGACATAGAGTGGTTGGAGAGAGTATCATATCTAGCAGATGAGTTCGAACATCAAGATAAGCTTAACCTGAAGCGTCCTGAAGCTTCAGGGAAAATGAACGAATATTATAACTTTCCATGATAATCTCGGGGCATTTTTATCAAAACTGCAAAATCGGTAAAAAAAATAAATCCTGGAAATATTGTAAATTTGAGAAACTCTGCCGTGTGGGAGATGAATCTGATTGTGAGATAATTACAATTTTGAAAGAAGCGATTTCTGGGCATCTTGGATCTCTTGAAAACGAACTGTAGCGCTATTTCTCTGAGCTGAAGGAAGAAGAATCTGCATTTACGCATTACCCATTCACTTCTTCCCTTGATGTTGCCAGCATTTCCGATGAATTACAAGATGAATTCTTTGATTTGCAGAATGATTCCGAGTAAGATGAAAAACTGCAGACACAATTTTGGTGTAGTATTCACCATTCATACCCAAACGTAAAATTGAGTGAATTTTCTAGAATATATTTTCAACACTATTCTTCGATTAAAAACAAAATTAAGATAATTATAACGACATAGGTTGGCGTTAACAAAAAAAATAATTAAAAAGTTAACCACGAAGGTTTATTGAATAGTCAGAAGAGTCTGGTACGTCAGACTCCCAAGTCCCCTACATGATCGCGTGGGGGAGGAGAGGTGCAAGACTGCCGGGAACCAATAAGGGTTTCGCTCTCGACCCTAACCAGATGTCTTGACTTTAAGCTGCGGCCTTCACGTGGCTTCGGATGTGTGCCACTAGTCGGACCAAGCTCATGACCCCCCTAGTGGGTGCGGGATAGCTAGTGGTAGCCAACAGCAGCTAGAGGTTTTTGATCTGGCCGAGTAGAACCGCTGTATGCGTTCGGCTCTTCCGAAGAGCCAGGTACGTCGTACTCCTAAGTCCCCCACATAATAGCGTGGGGGAGGAGAGGTGCAAGACTGCCGGGAACCAAAAGAGTCCGCCGACAGATCTTTCTTTTGACTTTAAGCGGCGGCCTTAACGGGGCTTCGGAATAATGCCACTGGTCCGACCAAACTCATGTCCCCCTAGTGGGTGCGGAATGGCCAGTGGCGGATAACAGCAGCTAGAGGGTTTTGATCTGGCGGAATGCCCCCCACGATCAAGCTGGGTACCAGGCGATAGGACAACTTCCCGCGTCTGGTGGGTGGGGAAAGAAAGCCCGGTGAGAGCCCACGGATGTAGCGACCGATGTGTGGGAAACTCTCTTGGTGTTTGCCACACTGAGGCCTGCCTGGCTAATGGAAGTGAACCTTCTGAGTCGGTTTCCGTATAAGGAAGGAAGGAAGGAAGTGAATAGTATACAATTTTACTCATGCTATTAAAACAGTTATAAAGAGTAGTTCATATTGAAAGTCTACTAGAAAATCTTATTTTAGTGCTTATTAATTTCCATACTAATTTCGGCTTTTTAATTCTATGGGGGTCGCGGGTCACTTACTTTTTATAAAAGGGGGTCGCCATACGAAAAAGGTTGGGAACCACTGGGTTAAAGCATCACTAGAAGATTATTAATATGCATAAAATGACAAAGTGCAAATGTTTATACTATGACTAATACAGGTAAATTTAACATCACATGGCCACCGCAGGTAAATATTAACCTTATTTAGCCACCACAGTAGACACTGTTTAACTTGACACCACAGGTAGGCAATGTTTAACCTGACCTAGCACCTACAAGTAGCCAATGCTTAACCTAACATAACAGGTAGACAATGTTTAACCTTGACATAGCCACTACAGGTAGGCACTGTTTAACCTAACACTACAGGTAAGCACTGTTTAAACTAACACCACTGGTAGGCACTGTTTAACTTGACACCACAGGTAGGCACAGTTTAACCTAACACCTCAGGTACACACTGTTTAACGTAGCACCACTAGTAGGCACTGTTTAACCTAACACTACAGGTAAGCACTGTGTAACCTGACACTACAGGTAGACACTGTTTAACCTAACACCACAGGTAGGCACTGTTTAACCTAACATACCAACCACAGTTACGATTACCCCATGGTGCCATATCACCAGCCAAACCCTGAGACTCACCGTGGCCACTGCTTGCATCAGAGAATCCTCACTACCGGATTCAATGTTCTTGAAAGACTTGATGGTGGCACCAACACGCGATGCGTTGAATTTACAACGTTGAACCTGTCATGGTGAAATTATTAGTACCATAAATGACCAAACACAAGATGTTTTTTTTTTTCAAAATAACCTAATGCATTAATTTAAAATATGAATTAAAAAGTCCAAAACAATAGGTATTTTTACTGTATTGTGTGATGCATCTCTTATATCTCTATATATAATTCTCTACTTTGGGACCATGCAGGACACTACCACCAAGAACGCACGCGGACCAGCGAGGGATTCTCCAGCCAAGCGCAACAGACCATATCGCTACCACCCCTAACCCCCACCAGTCTGTAAGCTGTGGTTCACGCCGAATGTTTACAAATACAGAGCGGGGTCGAAGTAGTGACGACTGCTTTCACGCGGGGAAGGGGGGGGGGCGGAAGGATATTCGTTCTTCACTAGATACTGATAGTGTTTTAAATCAAAATTATTTCAGTAGCAGCATTGGTATTGTTGAATTCACATATTATGCATTACTGAAAAGTAGAAAATAAAAAAACTAAACGTATGCTACGCCGCGGGTCGGCACGCTCTACATAAAAGACTAACTAGCTAGCAAAAAGTGTAACTATAGTAGTTTAAAAATTGTGTCTACGTTGGGTAATAAATTTTCTCTGAAAATGGCACTACAAAAGTCACATTACCTTGTCTAAGTAACGGTAGCTGTAACTGGTGCCAATACCCTTGTTGTCGATGACGTATTGGAAGGCCTGATCCATCGAACCACCTTTACAGCCCCGGTTTCCTGAAATCAGACATTACAGCTAAAAAAAGGGTTGAACGGCTTTGTGTTGGAAGGGGGTGGGGAATAGGGAGCGCATATTTTCGGTTTCTAAAACGAGTTACAGTGAGATAGTTACTCATCTAAAAACTCCGTGATCAAACAACTGCTGTCTTGCTGATAATCGTTTATTGAAAAAAAAAATATGGAAGCAAATCCAGACAGAAAAGTAGGTAAATGTCGAAGTCAAAGGGTGATAACCAAGTCATTGCCTGCATCAAATCCAGACAGAAAGGTAGTCAAAGGGTGATAATCAAGTAATTGACACAATCCAGTCTGTGAGCTTATTCGCGCTAGTTTCCCTTTATTTGATTCGTGTTAAAGTTAAGTTGAAGTTTAATGTTTCCAAGAAATATTAAATTGTCTTAAACGCAAAGAAAATCCTAAAATAAACTCAATGCAGATTTTAGAAATCTATAAATCGTTTGTTTTAATAAAATGTTTGATAAAAATATGAATATTTTTACTTTGTGTTTTAATTCCCGCAGAAAGCAAGCTACCCCATTTATTGATGGACGCCAACTAGAATAAAAACACTGAAACACCTACCCCATTTATTGATGGACGCCAACTAGAATAAAAACACTGAAACACCTACCCCATTTTCTGGAACAGTCGACCAAGTTGGACTCGGACAGTTGGTTTTGTGAGCGCGACTGTTTAAAGTTCTGACCCTCGATAGCCCCCGTGGCGGAGAAGGCCCAGCTGGACCCACAGGCACCCTGGTCCTTGACCTCTGTGACGTAACCCTTCTGACGCCAGTCGACGGATGAAGGCAGGACGTCCTTCAATAGACCGCTCTCGTAGTTGCCTGGGGTCAAAGGTTGCTTTGGGCGGAAACCCTTCAAGGTTGCTCTGAATTCATCGTAAGTCTGAAAATAGTGTATACTACATTTTAGTGCCGATGTATAGTTCGATTCTTCTTATTATTATTCGTTCTTAATTGTGGTGTTAAATGTCAACTCTTGCGCCTTATAGACTAGTCACACCGATTTTGGAGTTGTCTCTTCCAGATGAGTTGTCGTCCCCAGCTATCGAGCCTTATCTGCCCAGGGCTGTACATTCGAAACTCTGTCAAATCTTAGAAACGTCATATTTCTTTTTAAATTATTGAACGTTTGAAATCTCTCATTCTTGATTTAATATCGAAGATGAGTAATGTGCGGTCGTTTAGCATAAAAGAGCAGAATACACTATTAAGTGTAAAGAGCGCTAATCAAAGCATATTTATTGATTTTTTGTTCAAGTGATTAAATAAATAGCGGAACTCTGAGTGTATTAAAGATTGAGGGAATTTTTAATGCCCCTGAAGAACATGCTAAACGTCTTTTTTTTTATGTATTACAGCGGCTTATGGCAGTTAACCACATCGCTCAGTAAGTTAAAAACGTGTACGTTTGTCTGCCCTTGGTGTTGAAATATCACTTTTTGTTTATTTTGCTAGTAAGTTAAGAAGCATTTGGGGTGAGAAAGGACAACTCTTCGTGCAAGGTTAAAGTCATGCTGTCACTGGTCGTGTCTGTCTTCCTGTATGGATGGGTGAAAACGGCCCTTCTCTGGACATCCAGAGAGGATCCAGGACCTGGATAGGAATTGTTTACGCAAGCTTTTATGGACCTCATTCAGAGATCACGTGACTACGAGGTCCGTGAAAGGTTCACTAATGTGATTGGTCACTGAGAACTTACTAAGCATAGTCAAAACAAGAAAACTGAGTTGGTATGGGCATTTCACAGAAGCCAGCGAGAGCCGGACTTTTTCCCAAAATACACTTGCCCGTAGGCCGTTTGCCCGAAAAATGTTAACATTATATATTACCAAACAGTCATTCTTAATTACTTTAAATTTGAAATTTTGATAATCAATGCACATTTAAGCACAAAGAAAATGAAAATATAGTATGTATTACCAAGCAGATATTATTAATTAATTTGTATTTAAATTTGCTATATAAAAAATGTACAAACAAGGTGTTTCAAACATTAATCAAAAGTGTCCATTCGGAAAAGTGTCGCATTTGGGCAAGTGTCCCTTCGGGCATTTGTCGCATTCGTGCAAGTGTCCCTTAGGGCAAACGGCATTCGGGCAAGTGTCTTTCGGGACTTTGTCGTAGACCCGTTATGAATTACACTATCATCTCAGCTGTTTAGGCACTTTAGATTTTATGCAGAATATGTGGGGTACTTAAGAAACCTAACTTACTCGAATAGGCCATATTATTTCAAATTAAATTTTATCCTAGATTCGCCAATTCCATAGCTAAATAAACAAAGATTTATATAAAATAATTAACGCCTAAAATAGTTTAGTATAGCAACTCATATTGGAATAGATTCTATATCTAGATAGAGTCTAGCTCTAGAATCTAAGTCTAGTTTTTCCGTAGAACTAGATCTAGATCTAAAATCTACGACCGGCTTATTAAGTCTAGTTTTTCCGTAGCTCTAGATCTAGAATCCAAATAGATAAAGTAAATTTTATAAGTTTAGGCCGAAAAAATTGTATTGTATACATTTCATATCGCAGCCAACTTCGAGGTTGGTCTACATTAAATAGTGTTACTTACAATCAAATTTCTTAATAATAACAAACAATTTACTTAAAGATATTTACTACTGACCATATCCGTGAACTTGTTCGCTTCAAGGTAATAACTCTTGAGACCTTGAAAGGTCAACAAGTTGTGTTCAATGATTTTCAGCAAGTTTGCTTCCCAGATTGATCGTCTGAAGGCCTCTTCGTCCCCTGTGTAATTTTTATTGTGCGTATATTTAAAGATTTTCCAGTCGGGATCCATACTGACAGACGCCAGGCAGGCGATCAATATCAGAATCACAGCTCTCAGCATCTGGTAAAAATACAAGTATTGCGACTTCTTTACCTTTTTTAATAGTCTTGGGATTGGCAACTTTTTTGAAGCAGTATTGGAACCAAAGACTTTTTTTTTAAACTGATGAAAGTGGCAAACTAAAAGATAGTACTTGGTGAACTTTAAATGTAGACATTTTAAACGGTGTGTCATTGAAGTTTATAATCTTAAGCAAATTTTTACTAAGGTGATCAAAAGTTAAGATGACAATGTAAGATATAGAAAAACAAAATACATTGAGTGGTAAAAATAAAAAAATTGCCATTAGACGTAATGAATTATGTATAAGTAAACTTTCTTAAAAATTAAAGAAGTTCAAGTCAAAAAGAAGTTTGATGAAAACTGTAATACTAAAGCGAACATGGGAAGGTAATCTGCTGCAAGACTAAGATATATATTCGTCTTCCTTCTAGGTTCGTTGCCTTTTTTGGTTGAGGTTAAACATCGCCATGTTTTCAAATATCGCGATGGACGTCACGTTCTCTCCCCTCTTACCTAGTAATCGCTTCCTCTACCTATTGTTTACAACACGCTTACAAAGAAAAAATATCCCACCCCTCTACTTGAGACACAAAATACAAAAGTGTATTGTGCCTTGTCGTCACAGGAAACAAAAACGGTGGCGTCTAATGTTGTTAACCCTTGTCTTCCTAAATTATTTTTTAACTTGTTAAAGAAAATGAATGTTTAGTTAAGGATTCTGACGCGAGTTTTTTCACAAGGGACGCTACTCGTGGCTGTAAACAAGGCTGTTCTAATTTTAGAACAGTTGTCTTTCCTCTCGTTTCTCTATTAGGGAAGACATGTGGGGAAGACACGCGACACGTCTTTTAAAATGTAAACAAACGTGCACGAGGTGCACTTAAAATAAACCCCGCTGCGAAAATGACAACGGCATGGCGACACTTTTTGGAAAACACGCTTTCATGTAAATAAAATAAGGATCGCTTTTGTTGTCACCATGATAATGTATACCTATAAGTTCTCTCCGCCTTTATCGACCTAGTATGAATTTCGCGCGCGCGCGTATGTGTGTGGTGGTCAGATCAAAAGAAAATCGGAACGGTCATAAAAAACTTAATTACTTTTCCAGACTTGTAAAAAACATGTCTACCCCCGCATACCTCACGTACCAACGCACTAAGTCCCCCTGTCGCCCGCGCTTAATGGCTTCGCTTAATTACCTGCAGTGATCGCTTCAGTGAACCCGCTATTAAGCAACCACGGGTCGTGCAGGGGAGGTTCACGGGCGGATCGATACGTAACAGCTGTCGGTAATGAGTAACAGCTGTGGTTAAATCGAAGTCAGGACACAAAGAACTTTCTACTTTTGTCTACAATAGCACACCCCTACCCTCAACCCCGACCATCCCTCTCAATCCCCGACCATCGGTCTAAACCACCCTCACCCCTCTCCGTTTACTATTAAACATACATACAATCAAATAAACAAACCAACAAATTAAACAACAAAGAAAAGAAATATATCAAATAAATTAAACAAAGTAATTAAAATCAAATTAATTAAAATGAATTTCAAACAAATAAGCAAATTACGTAACTCGTTAATAAAAATTAATAAAAATAATACATTAAAATTACAAAATTAAAATTTAAAAAAAAAAATTAAACTAATTAAAAAATCAAATCCACTCCCCCTCTCCCCCCCTCTCCCTCCCTCCCCCTCCGTCTGCCTCAAATCCACTCCCCCTCTCCCCTTCCCCCTCCCTCCCCCTCCGCCTGCCTCAAATCCACTCCCCCTCTCCCCTTCCCCCTCCCCCTCCCTCCCCCTCCCTCCCCCTCCCTCCCCCTCCGTCTGCCCAATTTTCCTACAAATTCTGGTGTTAGTATGAGTCACGTCTGCTTTGAGCGCCTATTAAGTTTACAGGATGAAATTTTAAAAGCCTTTGATGAATTGGAGAAACGTTAATAAACAAATAAAATATAAGAAGACTTTTGTTCTAATTTAGTGTGTGTGTGTGTGTGTGTGTGTATACGTGTAGAATACGCGTACTAGAAAACCAACAAGGTAATGTCCGGTTGCTCAACCTAATTACACCACCAGCTGTCGCACAACAGCTGTTGCATAATGACCTACGTACTTCACGGAGAGGCACTTAATGTACGTCGTTAATTACCATAACCTGTCAACCGCTCGGGGGAAACTCGGTGAAGCATAACAAAAATTTAATTAGGTGTGATGGGCCAGCGGCTGCGATCAATACATTCCCATTAAAACGGGCAGCGGTGAGAAAACTTCGCGGGCGGGTCGATACGTAACAGCTGTGGCTGATCGTTATCTTTAATGGATGTTCTATTTTTGTAACGTTCGTTGTGGTGGAGAATTTAACCTGTTTTTTGTACACGGTCGTTGTATGGGAGAATTTAAAACATACATACAACCAAATAAACAAACCAACAAATTAAACAACAAAGAAAAGAAATATATCAAATAAATAAATTAAACAAAGTAATTAAAATCAAATTAATTAAAATGAATTTCAAACAAATAAGCAAATTACGTAACTCGTTAATAAAAATTACACAATATAAACAAAGTAATTAAATTAAACAACAAGTAAACAAACTAATTAAACAATCAAAGTAATTAAATTACATAACTAGTCAATAAAAATTCAAACTAATTATAAAATAAAATTAAAATTACGTAACTAGATACAAAATAAATAAAAATCAAATTAATTAAACTTATTAAAAATAAAATAATTAAATTAAAAATAAACAAAATAAAAATAATTAAAAAGTTAAAATCAAACAAATACAAAATAAATAAAAAATCGAATTATTAAACTTATTAAAAATAAACAAACAAAACACAAACAAAGTAATTAAAATCAAATTAATTAAAAAACAATAAAATTACGTAACTAGGTCAAAAATTAATTAAAAATTTAAAAACTCATTAAAACTCATTAAAAAACACATTAAAATTACGTAACTAGGTCAATGATGACGTCATAATGTTACTAATTACGTCACAAGGTCAATGATTACGTCACAAGGTCACCAAAAGGTGACCTACTTCCCCACCACCTGCGCCAACCCCAGTTGGCGTAGTATTTTACTATATGTCTTTGCGCATCCTGCGCATCCTGCTCCACCACCCTGCGGCAGCTGGCGTAGTATTTTACTATATGTCTTTGCGGCAGGCTGCGGCAGGCTGCGCATCCTGCTCCGAGTATTTTGCTATATAACCTTTGCGCCTTCCCACCACCACCTGCGCCAAAAATAATAATCAAAAGGGACCTAATATACTACTCCTAATTCAGTTAACTTTCCCTTATACAGGGGGCCCTAAGCATCCTGATATTTTAGCAATAGAGTTAATACGCGCTTAGCTCTTGTGTCACGTGGCTCTCTTAGTAATTTCTATACCACTGAAGATTGGTCATACGCACAAACATGTGAAAAATGTACTGGTCCGCAACCACCAGGGAACGCATTGAAGAATGATCTATGTAACATGTCATTAAAACAAACGAAAATGGCTTCTTTTTTTTTTTTTTTTTTTAAAGCCCTTGTGTGGCCGACAGGAGATACACAATTAAAGAATATACGTAACCGCCCTACGTGAAACAATCAGGACGATGTACATGAGATTTAAACACTAGTAATAGATCTTGTCCACTGACAAAAACTTAATTAAAGTAGCGATGTTAATTGATACACCTACTTGTTTAGGTCGTGTGTATCTTAAAATTAAAAGATATGGGGATTAAATGGCAAGAATACAGGAGGATAATATTCAATTACAACTTCGATGACTTAAGGAGGACAAATGCAGGATAACCTAGGTACACACCTCAATTTGCAACTACATTGCTTTTAAAATTGTGCTTGATTATGTTGTAATTTATCTATAAAAAAGCATAACTATACACAAATTAGATTCAGATAACAAAGCTAGAAAACATCTCTCCATACCTTTCAAAATAGGCCTTCTGTTGTAAACTTGTTAAGGTTATAGAGCTGCTAGTCTGGATCTAGTGGAAGGTGCGGGGTTATAATAGAAAGGTCACTTTGTATTATGTTTATACGTGTGATCAGACCACTTACAACTTGCAGATCTGACAAAGGTCGCTAGCTTGATGTAATTTTCTCACGTGTTGTGTTTTCTAAGCGAGGTTAAATAAAAAAACACGTTGATTATTTTAGCAGCAAACAAAAGATTGTTAGGTAATTTTTATCGATTGTCGTTAACAGAAAATTGGTGGCCTACAGTTCAGCCTTTAATCCGTCACTGTCAATGAGTTATGGCTTTATCACTTCTTTTTCTAAACTTCTGGGATGAACCTAGCCCCCATCTGGCGTCTAGTTTAGGTTTTAATTCTAATCGACCTGTCTCTTTTAATAACAAGACCTAACATTCAAAACACGTTGATTCCTAACTAACGTTGTGATTTCGAACGATGCAAATAGCCTGACCAGCAGCTCTATACATTTTTTAAATGTTTGGTTTCACCGTTATTGAATTAGCCTATCACTAACCGGTCCTTGTTTTGTCAGCTATTAGACGGATTATTCATAAGTGCACATGTTGGATTAATACATGTTTTTCTTGCCTGTTTTGTTAAGAGTCAGTTATTTTTTTCTTCAGAGACTGCATGATTATCCGAATTTTGTGCCAGAAATAAACTTTATAATATATAGGGAGTGTCGCTTTACGTAAACAGTTTTTAAAAAGAAAGCGATGACAGCCGATGTTAACATTAGAGGGGAAGTTTTTTTATGGGGAATAACTCATATGTATTTGTTTTGTTTTGTTTTTTTTTTTTTTTTTTTTTTTTTGGTAGATAAAAGAGCTTGCATTTAGACATTCAAACGGTCGCTTAATTTGCATAAAACAGAAGTCTGTCGGAAGTTTAAATTTACTATGTAAGACAAAATTTGAAAATTTCTAAAAATCAGGGTCCACTCATTACCCCCCCCCCCCCACACACACACACACTTCCCCACTTCCTTCCCTTAATTTGTATCAAACTGCCCATATGATCGCTAAGCTCGAAGAGGCAACTAAGAAAGACTAACATCTCCAATAACGCATCTAGGGAGTTTTAATCCAAAACAACCTGATCTAAATACTGTACACGTATAGCTATCCGAAACCTCACTTGTAAAAACAGATATGTAAAGGATTTCCATACCTTTCTTAGTAATGTAGTTAGGAAACAAAGGCGGTCAGACATTTTTTTATTTATTGCATGGGTTATTCAATAATTTTGCTAGTCTGAATGAATGCGAGTGAGAACTAATTCAGGATGTAGACGCTATGCCTGTTATGTTATTTTAGGGCTTTATAAAAAACAATGTCTGAGTAGGAGGTGATGATAGTTGGTATTCATCTTTAAGTGTGTGCCCCTTTTATGTAAAACGTATATTTTTAAACGCAACTAATTATTAAGCAGTTGAAAATGAATGCGTTGTGATTTTTTTTTGTTCTTTATATTTATTTAATTTTAGATTTAACAGATTGACAGTACTTAATTAAAAACGATACCGAATATCTATAATAAACTTACTATGTAAGTGTTCTGGAATTGAATAACTAAAAATCTGAGTATTGTCAAAACGGTCACAAAAAAATTAAAGGGCGGTTACGTTTAATTACAAAGATAGTGCTGTAAACAAATAAACCGAGTACATGGCCTTTGTGTTGAGGAACAAACATTGTAATCAGGGGCGTAACGAGGGGGGGGGGGGCGACACCATTTAGGGGGTGACACCAAGGCAAAAAAAGCAAAATATATAGAGAAAAACTTGAGGGGGGGGGTGCAAATCGAAAGTTCGAGGGGGGGTGCAAATCGAAAACTTGAGGGGGGGGGTGCAAATCGAAAGTTTGAAGGGGGTGCAAATCGAAAATTTGAAAGTTTGTCCCCGGGAAGGGTCGCTACGCCTCTACGCCTCTGGGGGGTGGCACCATTAAGTGCCGCACCGGGTGACACCCGACCTCGCTACGCCACTGATTGTAATTAATATTTTTTTTTTAAATAGGTTAATCAGATGGGAGTGATAATGAGGTCAAACAGCTTGCAAGATAGTTCATGTCTGTTGTTACTTAACCTTTCAAATAAAACGTTGGGGAGGAAAGTGCAGTATACATTTAGTTGAACACAAAAATGGCAAAATTAGTTAAGTTGGACTCATGCCTTTAAAAAGGACATTGCAACATCTCAGCTCTTTCAATAAATTTAAAAAAAAATAACATAAATAGTCTAATTTTAAGTTGTTTTTTTTTTTAAATTTATAAAATGGGTTGAGATGTTATGTCATTTTTAAAGACATGAGTCCAGATGTTTGTGAAGTCAGGGTCCATATATTTGTGAATATTGGGGGGGGGGGCAGGTATTTTTTTGTGACGGCAGGGGTCCAGATATTTGTGAAGGCAGGGGGCCCAGGTATTTGTGGAGGTAAGGGCTGAGATATTTGTGAAGGCAGGGGGCCCAGGTATTTGCAGAGGAAGGGGTCCAAACGTATGTGAATGTAGGCGGGCAAGTATTTCTATGTGACGGCTGGGGTCCAGATATTTCTGAAGGCAGGGGGCCCAGGTATTTCTGAAGGCAGGGGGCCCAGGTATTTCTGAAGTGGTCCAGATATTTGTAAAGTCCTCATTAGAATGACGTCACCATCCACATTACCTACCCTCCCTTTTCAATTATTAATTTTTTACTTAGGTAATTTTATCTGTCCGTTTGTCAAAATACTTAATCGAAAAAAAAACTATTTTAAAATCTTGTTTGTTTGTCTGTGTGTCTGTACGTGAACACAATGTTGAGCGATTTACAATGACCGGAAGTATATTGAATGTATAGTTTCCTAAATGCCAATACCGTACGTATCGTTTCAGTTACATTTTATTCACAAGTATAAGGTCCTACATGTCGGTTCTGTCAACTTCTGAAAAATATCCGGCATTAGTACTTTAGTACTCTATTTCTGATTTTCAATAACCAGTGAAAATTGTGGTACTTTAATGTCATATTATTTAGCTTCATATTTAAAGAACTCTTGGCCTCTGTTTTCAATTACAATCTAATCAACACGCTAGTTTTATTTTAAGAATAAGGTCACCGTTTCACCCCCCCCCCCCCCCCGCCACTCCACCCCACCCCCCCCCCCCCCCCCCACCCGTTCCTTTCTGCAGTACCACAGTATTTCAGTACATCCGCAAAGAGCTTCACATGTTGGGTTCAGTAAGTAATATGATTTCTTAAAATATGTTTAATTATTTTTTTTTTGCACGACTTTATATAGATATGGCAAATTAATTACTCACAAATAACAAATCATTCATTTCATGATATGACAGATACACAGACTCAGACACAGAAAAATGTTAACAAGTCTATTTTATTTTTTTAAACTATGTTATTAATGTAATTATTTATGTTCTACATAAACTGTCATTAAAGAAATGTTATAGGCTAAACCAATGTGAAATGTGTTTATAAAGATCACACTTGACATAAGAAAGTTCTGGGTGGGCTGGACCAAGGTCTTCACATGACGGGGTAGCTGGCCGCTGTGGCGATACCACACTGGTTCTTCTTGTTTCTGGACATCAGGATGTAACCTTCATCTCCCCAGCTTGGGCCCCAACTGAAGATAAAAATAGAACGGCACGTGACTTGTTAGTTGTACAAAAAGTGTACAAGTGGGATTGGTTTATTATTATGGTTCTTGCGACTTCATGTGGTGACGTGAAATACAAAATGGCTATTTTAAGAATTCGGAAACTACCTATTCTAAATACTCCTCCATACTGAGTTGCTCTTAAGTTAAATTATTTCTTATTAACTCGACAAAAATTTAGATAATACAAAAATTAATATCGATTTCTTAAGGAGTTAATTTTTTTTAATGCAGACAGATTCAACCAAGGATCTAAGTTTATAGCAAATTTATGTTTTAACATATAACGTACATTTTTATTTTGTTTTTTTCTTTCTACTTTTTCTAAAAACTACACAAAATTTTATTTTTGTCAAATACTTCTTCTGACCTGTTTTTGACGATCCAGTAGTCCTTGCCTGCCAGGGTGCCATATCCTACAGCCAACACGGCGTGGTCCAGCTCGGTGGTGCTGCAGCCAACGCGGTCGTACACACCACCGCCGTAGCTCTGGAAATGTGGGTCGCTGGCATCAATAGCCACGCTGACTGGTCCAACCTGTCATACAAGAGGGGGGGGGTTAGTGGGGTCCAGCACTAGATACATAATAGATAGCCTTGTGTAGGAAAGATAGGTAAATAGTGTTTATATTATTATTGAAATAGCAGGCACATAGTGGTTAAAGCATCACTGGATGCTTGCTATTTCACTTAGTAAATGACAAAGTGCGTATGTTATGCTATGACCCATACAGGTAAATTTAACATTACATGGCTACCGCAGGTAAATATTAGCCTGACCTAGCCACCACAGGTGGGCACTGTTTAACCTAACACCACAGGTAGACACTGTTTAACCTGACACCACAGGTAGGCACTGTTTAACCTGACACCTAACACACCCACTAGTTAAAAAAAAACCATGGAGCCACATAAACAGCCAAACCCTGAGACTCACCGTGGCCACAGCTTGCATTAGAGAATCCTCACTTCCGGCTTCAATGTCCTTGAAAGACTTGACGGTGGCACCAACGTCCGCTGCTTTGAAATTACAAGGGCGATCCTGTCATGGTGAAAGTATCAATTATTTCAGAAAGTAGCATAAATTACCAAACACATGATGTTTTTTTTTTCAAAATAACTTCATTCAATAATTTAAAGTATGAATTAATAAGTCTAACAAATTTAGTATTTTTTATTGTGTGATGCATTCGTTATAGTATCCTACATAAAGACTAGCTAGCTAGCAACAAATGTAACTATAGTAGTTTAAAATTGTGTCTACATTGGGTAATAATTTTTCTCTGATATTCTGTCACTTGAAAATGGCACTGCAAAGGTCACGTTACCTCATCTAAGTAAGGATAGCTAGCCTCGGTGTCAATGCCCTTGTTGTCGATGACGTATTGGAAGGCCAGATCCATCAAACCACCTCTACAGCCCAGGTTTCCTGAAATCATACATTACAGTTAAACAGAGGGTGAAACGGCTTTGTTTGTAGGGGAGGGGGAGGAATGTGGAGACCATCTTAATGAGAAAACTCCGTGATTAAACAAATGCTGTCTTGCTGATAATTGTTTATTGGAAAAAAAAAATATGGAAGCAAATCCAGACAGATAGTAGGTAAATGTCGAAGTCAAAGGGTGATAACCAAGTCATTGACTTCGTCAAATCCAGACAGAAAGGTAGTCAAAGGGCGATAATCAAGTAATTGACACAATCCAGTCTGTGAGCTTATTCGCGCTAGTTTCCCTTTATTTGATTCGTGTTTCCAAGAAATGTTTTAATTGTCTTAAACGCAAAGAAAATCCTAAAATAAAAATAATACAGATTTTAGAAATCTAAAAACTTACAATTATAAAAGTAGAGGTTTTTATTTAAATGTAGGCCTATTCATCACTTTGGTCAAAAAATAAAAATTTTAATCTTTGTTTTAATTCTGGCAGCAAGCAAGCATTCTCGCGTATTGTTTCTCCCCTTCACATCATGAGGTAATGTGTAACTACACAAAACATTTACTTAGTACCAGTGTATACTGAGTATAGTAAGACAAGCACTCAAACTAGTCAAGCCTTGCTGTCTGTGAAAATACCCCATAAAGGGCTGGGGCACCACATATTCTTGACCATGTGTGAAGATGGTGAAGGGTTCAGAGAATGTGATGCCGCATTTGTTTCGCTGGTTATTGCTGTTTCTACAAAGCATTCTGATTGTTTTCAGAGTTTTTGTTACTGTGCAAAAGGGAAGAAGCCAAACTGTGTTTACTCCTTTGATGTGGATTCCGTAAAAAGGAAGTAAAGGTTAAGTAGAAAACAGACAGAAACAGCTAGTCATTTGTAGATCACTAGAGAGAATTTTAAAAAACCTAAAACATCTACCCCATTTATAGATGGACGCCAACTAGAATAAAAACACTGAAACACCTACCCCATTTTCTGGAACAGTCGACCAAGTTAGACTCGGACAGTTCGACCAACTTGCCCGTCTGTTTAAAGTGCTGACCCTCAAGAGACCCCGTGGATGAGAATGCCCAGCAGGATCCACAGGCACCCTGGTCCTTGACCCTAGTGACGTAGCCTTTCTTCCTCCAGTCGACGGATGAAGGCAGAACGTCCCTCAACAGACCGCTAACGTAGTTGCCAGGGTTCAAAGCTTTGTTCAGACGGAGTCCGTTCATGGTTGCTCTGAATTCTTCGTGACTCTGTCAAATAGCGTTCGAGAACAGAATAGAAAGGCTGCTCAAGTACTGAATATGCATAGTTAAATTAACTTATTAAAAAATATTGCCCAGTGAATTGTTTAAGTAGGTATTGTAAACACTAGAAAAATTAGGCACGTACGAGCCGACCCGCGGCGTGCCATACGCCGCTCTTTAGTTGCTATTAAGTTGTATTATTTCCTAACTTTTAGTAATTCATAATTTGTGAATTCAACACTACCACTTGCGTCGTGGTGGTGTCCACAGAGAGAATTATACATAGAGATTGTAAATACTAGAAAATTAGGTGCGTATTTTGTAAATACTAGAAAATTAGGTACGTATTGTAAATACTAGAAAATTAGGTACGTATTGTAAGTACAAAAAAATTAGGTATGTATTGTAAACACAAGAAAATTAGGTACGTATTGTAAATACTAGAAAATTTGGTACGTATTTTGTAAATACAAGAAAATCTCTAGCATAGTTGAGAACTTGGAATTTATTTTAAATTTAGGACTTAGAAATTTAGAAAAATGAAACAAGACTTAAAAAATGTTGCTGAATGCCAAATAAATCTGTTTCAGAATTTTATTTTATTTTTTTAAGCCTGGAGTGGATAAATGGCGATGCTAAATTTTTTTTACGATTTTTTCTATTCAACTTTACTTTAGCAACTTTTAAAGCCATATTAATATTGTTGATCACATACATTTTTTTCATCTATAAAACATAATTTTCTTATTTAAACAATATTCACCCTCGTAAGTAATTAAAAAACTGTTTATTAAATAATGTATCAACTGACCATATCCGTGTACTTGTTCTCCTTGAGGTAATAACTCTTGAGACCTTTAGCGTACAACTCGTTGTGTTCTTCGATTGTCTTCAGGTTTGATTGCCAGATGTACCGTCTGATGACGTCATCGTCCCCTGTGTAGGTTTTGTTATGTTTGGCTTTAAAGATGACCCAGTTGGCCTCCATACTGGCAGACGCCAGGCAGACGGCCAATGCCAGAATCACAACTCTCAGCATCTGGTCAAGAGGTAAACATAGGCACTAATGACATTTTTTTTTAAAGTGATGACAGCGGTAAACTTGAAGGTAGTTCGCGTGCACAAATTGAAAGGCGAGTTACCGTTTAGGCTTGCGATTCATAGGCGGAGGGTGTAAAGCTTCCCTACTTCTGTCTTTGACTCATGTTAACTTGCAAACATTGCATAATTCTAATAATTACCATCTTCCCATTTACAATATACATCAATTATTTCGCGAAACTTCGCAATGCATTATGTTGTAGCTGAGAACGCATATTGAATTAAAATAACATTTTAAAAACTATTCTTCATATGAAAATGGACTATAAATTTCCGTTCTTCGACGCAGGTAAACGCCACTAGTAAATAATCTTTCATTTAATCAAATGATGACTCAAAGTTTCGCTTTAACAATCAAAACGAATGACATCAAATTAAATATAGAGCTCACGTTTAGGCCTATAATTAATAAAAAAAAAATAAGCACTTGCAAAAACAATGATATTTAGTTGAATAGCATGAGTTATAAATCAAGTAGTATCGAATAACTAAAACGGAGTGAATAAACGCAATATGATTTCTTTGTCTTCTTGTGTTAACGTTTAAGTCTAGACTACAAATAAATATTTTTTTTAAAATGAGAATAGATTCAACGGGATATAATTTAGTTGTGTTTTATTTTTCTTTACGATTTATTTAAAGACTTTACAAATAATATATTTTATTTATAAAAAAAACAGAAACTAATAGCAATATCGATAAAAGTTTCACTAAACTTTACTCACCTTGTAAGTTTTGAAGGGACAGCCGCACACAAGTAATCAGCACAAGCAGGTGGTCAGTTTTTACCCTCTAGTCCAACCAGTGGCCACATGCTTTCCTAGCCTCATTATATACCCCATATGTAGGTCAGTCATCTGACCAGTCTTATCCGGCTGGGGTCAGTCTTAATCCATCACGTGAAGATTAAAAATCGAACACAAAAGCCGTATCTTGACCACTGTGTAGACATGGGAAGGGAAGTAATTCAATTGATTCAAGAGAACCCCCAGGCCATTTGTCAGGATAACAATGACGGTCAAAATAGATTAAAGGGCGATAACAATTTATCTATAGTGTGAAGCGGTAAGCAATTGACCAGGGTAGATGACCTTCGACTTGTCGACCCAGCATTGTGGTTGTGCGTGGTGTTTGAACTTGGCTTTAGGATGTGGATGTGGTGGCGTCTATAGATAAACACACCTGGAGGTTTCAAGGCTGATGTGATGATGTATTGTATGAGAACCTGCGGGGTAGTAGGTGGCGAAATGTCAAGTGTATTTATTGAGTATTCCAATTTTAGAACAAAAAAATGTCAAAATTAAGGCTATTTGTGTTTCAGCTGAGGGTTTTCCAGGAGGGGGTAAAATTGTAATGTCTATTGTGAAAGTAATGGGTTAAGACTAATGTCTAGGTAGTTGATCCACATTTTTGTGAAAGTAATGGGTCTAGAGTTTTGTGAAACTAGTGTGTACAGATTTGGTATAGTGGGTCTAGAGTTTTGTTGAAATTAGTGTGTACAGATTTGGTGAAATTAGTGTGTACATTTTGGTGAAATTAGTGTGTACAGATTTTGTGAAATTAGTGTGTAAAGATTTTGTGAAATTAGTGTGTACATTTTGGTGAAATTAGTGTGTACAGATTTTGTGAAATTAGTGTGTACATATTTGGTGAAATTAGTGTGTACATATTTGGTGAAATTAGTGTGTACATTTTGGTGAAATTAGTGTGTACATATTTGGTGAAATTAGTATGTACATATTTGGTGAAATTAGTGTGTACATATTTGGTGAAATTAGTGTGTACAGATTTGGTGAAATTAGTGTGTACAGATTTGCTGAAGGTAGTAGGTCCAGAGTTTGGTGAAATTAGTGTGTACAGATTTTGTGAAATTAGTGTGTACATTTTGGTGAAATTAGTGTGTACAGATTTTGTGAAATTAGTGTGTACAGATTTTGTGAAATTAGTGTGTACATTTTGGTGAAATTAGTGTGTACAGATTTAGTGAAATTAGTGTGTACAGATTTAGTGAAATTAGTGTGTTCAGATTTGGTGAAATTAATGTGTACAGATTTTGTGAAATTAGTGTGTACAGATTTTGTGAAATTAGTGTGTACAGAATTGGTGAAATTAGTGTGTACAGATTTGTTGAAGGTAGTGGGTACAGATGAAATTAGTGTGTACAGATTTGTTGAAAGTAGTGGGTCTAGAGTTTTGTCCAACAGGTAAGTAGCCTATCAACACATGGGGCACACCGACAAATATAAGCTATATGGCCTATGGTCATGTTATACACTCGTACTAAACAGTCTTCTGGCTGATTAGTGTGATACTCGCAGTGTTAAACGGCTATTTAAGTATGGTAATAGAAGTGTCTTTACGTGGACAATGTGATGATTTTAACAGGATAGATGTGTCAAATTCTAGACAAATCTAAAAATGGCATGTGTTACAACATCACTCCCCCCACCCAGCACATGCTAGCACACCACAGTGCTATAACTTCTTACTCCCCTTCTGTCCAGACCATCAGGATCACCCCATCTCACTCACCCCATCCCACTTGCTCCATCCCACTCACCACATCCCACTCGCACCATCTCACTCACCCCATCCCACTCATCAAATCCCACTCGCACCATCTCACTCACCCCATCCCACTCACCACATCCAACTCTTACTCACCTCATCCAACTCATCCCATCCCACTCACCCCATCCCACTCACCCCATCCCACTCACCCTATCCCATCCCACTCATCCCATCCCACTCACCCCATCCCACTCTCTCTCTCACCCCATCTCACTCATCCCATCCGACTCATCCCTTCCCACGCATCACATCCTACTCATCACATCCTGCTTACTCCATCCCACTCTTACTCACCCCATCCCACTCAACCATCCCACTCACCCCATCCAACTCACCCAATCTCACTCACACTCTCCCCATCCCACTAACCTATCCCACTCACTCCATCCCACTAACACTAGCCCCATCCCACTCACCCCATCCCACACACCCATTCCCACTCACCCCATCCCACTCACTCCATCCCACTCAAACTAGCCCCATCCCACACACCCCATCCCACTCACCCCATCCCACTTACCCCATCCCACTCACCCCATCCCACTCACGCCATTTCAATCACCCCATCCCACTCACCCCATCCCACTCATCCCATCCCACTCTCTCTCTCACCCCATCTCACTCATCCCATCCGACTCATCCCATCCCACGCATCACATCCTACTCATCACACCCCGCTCACTCCATCCTACTCTTACTCACCCCATCCCACTCAACCATCCCACTCACCCCATCCTACTCACCCCATCTCACTCACACTCGCCCCATCCCACTAACCTATCCCACTCATCCTATCTCACTCACCCCATCCCACTCACCCCATCCCACACACCCATTCCCACTAACCCCATCCCACTCACTCCATCCCACTAACACTAGCCCCATCCCACTCACCCCATCCCACTCACCCCATCCCACTCACGCCATTTCACTCACCCCATCCCACTCACCCCATTCCACTCACCCCATCCCACTCATCCCATCCCACTCACCCCATTCCACTCGACCCCCATCCCACTCACCCCATCCCACTCACTCTATCCCACTCACACTCGCCCCATCCCACTCACCCCATCCCACTCACCCCATCCCACTCACTCTATCCCACTCACACTCGCCCCATCCCACTCACCCCATCCCATTCACCCCATCCCACTCACCCCATCCCACTCACCCCATCCCACTCACGCCATTTCACTCACCCCATCCCACTCACCCCATTCCACTCACCCCATCCCACTCACCCCATCCCACTCACCCCATCCCACTCACGCCATTTCACTCACCCCATCCCACTCACCCCATTCCACTCACCCCATCCCACTCATCCCATCCCACTCACCCCATCCCACTCACCTCATCCCACTCACCCCATTCCACTCACTCCATCCCACTAACACTCGCGCCATCCCACTCACCCCATCCCATTCACCCCATCCCACTCACCCACTCCCACTCGCCCCATCTCACTTGCCCCATCCCACTTGCCACATCCCACTCACCCCTTCCCATTATACATAGGTTCGTGATGTCGTTACGGACAACCCCTTTAGAAAAATGCGTCCTTTGTTCCGGGTCATCAAGGAAAATATCAGGCGCATAAGGTTTTTAAATTTTAATCAGCAACTGCATTGTAATATACTCGACTTAAACTCAAATGTTGACAAAAGTATGTTTTCTGAGACTTGGTGGGACACGGGGCAGATGAAGTAGAGTTTGGCAGGTTTTATAAACTTGCCATTTATGTCTTTAAAATATTGAGTTGTTTCCTCTTCAAACAAAGAAAAAAACTAACATCTTGATTAATGTGAGACGTGTGGTGGAGCAAATAAAAACAAGTTAATAAAAAGTCTAGTGACAATTTAAGCGCAATTTCCTTAATTAATTTTTTTAAAAATGTGAAAAAATGATTAGGCCTAGCGAAACAAAACCTTGTAATTGTAACTCCCTATCACTCTCATATAAATTATAAATAAATTAATAGGGTACAAAAATAACGTTTGAATTAATAAGTAAAAAAAAAGACAACTATATTAACCTATATCAACGGAAATAGTTTTATTTTAACGAGTAGGCCTACAAGATGCTCAGTTTAAAAAAGTAGTAAATATCATCCTAGGCCTACACGATGCTCAGTTTAAATGTTCTTAATTAATTTTTTGTGACCGAACGAAAGGATATTTTTGAAAACTTTCTTCGGCAATATTGGTCTAAATTATGGCAGAAATCGATTGGTAAATGTTTCAAGTCGCTAAGTGGTCTGGTTGCCGAGATATGGAGCAAAAACTGCATTTGTTCGAGGTTTTTTGGCTTTTCCGGGAAACCCAGGAAGGAATTCCGGGAATTTTTTTGGCCTATGTTCATCCTCGGAACTTGCTTAACATATTTGCTTTGGAACTAGTCCTCGATATTGCTTCGTTGAGGAGGAGATACGACTTAAAGGCTGCGGACACACATCCATCCAGAAATGACGAGTTAATAATCGCAATCCCAGTATGGAAATTACGCTAAAAACGTTAGCAAATCTTTGTCAGCATTAAATACATAGGGCACTTTTTTAGTTGCGGATGTTTAAAAATATAGAAACATACAAAAATGTGCTCTGCTGAAAAGTTTGTTAAGATTTTCGTGAAGAGGTGTGATGAAGAGGTAGAGGGGTGGGGTTAAGAAGGTGTGATGTCACACTTTGGTATTTAAGAAAAAATACTTTTAGTAGTTAATTCGCTCTCATTCTGTTTTTAAATAAAATAAAATAAAGGTATTATTATTAGGGGTTGCGTGGTCGGATCGATTGCAAAACCGAAAGTCCCGAGTTTGAATCCCCGCGCAGATGAGATTTAATAGCTGGGGACAGCAACCGACCTAGAAGAGAAACTACAAAATTAAACAACTTGTGCTAACAAGGCATCACTGTATGGCCCTCCAGTTAAGGTCACCGGCCAGGCCGCAAGAGTTCCTAGATGAACTTCAACGCCCACGAATGCGTGACCAAGGCGAGCCACCTAGATGCAGGCATCCGGCTGTGGTGAGGCATGTGTGTGTGTGTGTGTGTGTGTGTGTATGTGTGTGTATGTGTGTGCGTGTGTGCAATTGGTGTCACCCACTCCCATTTTGCCTAATGGCGTCAATTTGTGTGCACATTATATTAATCCACCAATTAATTTTTTTGTGGAAAAAGCATCGTTTTTATCGTAAATTATTAGATTTCGGTATCACCCCCTTCCCGGTCGTTGATTGACTTATCAGTTATTTAAAAT